TGTGTTGCGTAAGAAAGCAATCGGCAATTAATTCTAGAAAATCTTCTGCTTCACTATTCCCTGTTTTGTTCAACCAGTTTATTTCACTAAAATTAAAGTCACCCATGACGTAAATACTGTTAGATCTAGATGCCCAAGATATTTCATCCCATAGATGCTTTGCTTCCATTCTGTCTAAATTTGGTGGCCTATATATAACTCCTATTATAATATTATTAGCTTTTTCGTTTAATTCTATCCAAATAGTTTCTGTGTGTGGCTCAGTTTTGATTCCCTCTTTGAGACTACATTTCAAATTGTCCCTAACATATATGGCTACTCCACCTCCTCGTCTAATATATCTATCTGTGTGAAATAGTTTAAATCCATTTATTTGATATTCAGCTAATAGTTCTCTATTTTCTACATTCATCCACGTTTCGGTAAGTGCAATAATATCTATTTTTTCTGTGCAGACAAGAGCATTTAATTCGTTAATTTTATTTCTTAGACTTCTACTGTTAGTGTAATATACCCTAAGTGAATTGTTATTTTGAGGCCCTTCTCTTTCCCTGATCATTTTGCCAATTCCTTTCTCCCACAAACACGTACTTTTATTATCTCCTTCCTCCAAATCAATTCCCATACCTCTATCAGCTAACAGTTTAAACCCAAACAAACACCTCTAACCACTTCTTCCAACGAGTTCGCAACAGCAACAACCCCAGCTCTCGATAGATGCACCCCATCACGAGCATATATTTCATTTCTTCCATAGAAGTGTTCCCAGTTGTCTATGAAAGATATTGCATTTGATTTGCAATATCTTTCCAGCCGGCAATTGCCACCAAGTGCCCTCGATATCCATTCATTTCCTACTCCCTTTCTTGGAAGAATGCCACATATGATCGGGATTCCTCCCTTGCTCCTAACTAATTCAATGGCTGTCCTGAATCTCTGTATTAGTTCCTCACTCCTAACTCGTCCAACATCATTACCCCCTGCAAGGGGGTAATGATGTTGATAATGATAATGACTGCCGAGAATTTACGATACTCGACATAGCGGTCGGCTGTCCCTCCCGACAGCCTCGTCACTCACCACAAAAATTTACCAAAATTACGTTAACACGTAGGCCACGGAACCACACATATATATATAACCACACTTGTCACAGCCCTGGGGAACACAACATGAGAAATAATCACACTCTGGTATCACATCACAATAATCAAATGCCAGGAATCCCTGGTGTTACACACTGACACTTTACCTGTGCACTTATGACCAGTACTGGACTTCCACACCTGCAATTGATTACATCACATGGAATAAGATAAACATCATGAATGAATTAACAAAATTCTACCAGAGTGGAATATAAATATTACTTGTACATCCCTCATAGTCCTTCACTAATCTATGTAGACACTGTTCCCGTGTGTACACCTCCACACATATACAGATACAGGGACACCTATCTACACCATGCTAAATTCCTCTGAGACTGACAAAATGTCAATACGAGTGAAAATCTCACGCGTCCTTACGTCACTTCACCTCACAGGTGGAGTCGACTGCTAGCAGCTGTGGAGTGAGGACTTTTACCGACCCTCCGTGGCTGTTGGAGTTGTTTGCTGTTTTGGTCGCCAGGTGGTGTGGGCGTCCCTGTCCTACCAGTTTTGTTGCCTGCCTGGCTGCGCTGACGTGGCAGTTCTGACATGGGGGGCCATCTTCCTCCTGTTCAGCGTGTGAACTTCGTGGGCCTGGAGTTCACTTGTAAGGCTGGTTATCCGACCATCGAGATGGTGATGTGTGACATGCTTCGTGTCCCGGTGGAAGCTGTTTACGGTGTGGAGCTAGTTACGGCCCATCGGGTTGTTATTAAGTTCGTGGGGGAGGACGAGTACCGGGACTTCCTCCGTCTCCGTCGGTACGGGGGGCGTACGTTGCCGTTGCCAGACGATGCATGCTCTGTGGTGATTTCGGACCGCAGTGGTGCCCTGACTTATGTCAGTATCCATGGTGCGCCCTTGAATTCCCTGATGACCTCCTCCGGCGTTACTTCGGGGGGTTTGGTACTGTTGTCAGCGTGCAGGTGAACACGCTCTCCTCGGGGCGGTATGCTGGGAGGCGTACAAACATTCGCACGTTGGGGATGCGCCTGCGGTCGGATATACCTTCTTCTGTCCGGCTTATAGGGTACTACGTTCGGGTGTATTATGCCCGGCAGCCTCGTACCTGTTTCCGGTGTGGCCTGTTGGGGCATCAGGCTGCCGGGTGCTCTGAGGCCCCTGCTGCTCCTGTCAACTTGTTCCGCGACGAGGATTTCCCGCCGCTCCCTCTGGAGGCAGTCTCTGGTGATGTTGATGAGGAGGTGTGCGTCCCGTTTGCTGTTGCAGCTTCCCCGGCGGCGCCTGCCGTTCCTCCGGTTGTTGCCGTCCCTCCTCCGGTTCTTGAGGTACCGTCGGTTGGTCTGCCTGATCCTGTCGCTGTCCCAGCTGCTCCCGTGGGCCTTCCTGGAGCTCCCTGTGTGACGTCGCTGTCTTCTCCCTCGTCTTCTGATGCTGCGCCTGGCCCTGTGTCCGTGACTCGGGTCCCGGATGTGCTTGGTGCTGGGGTGGCTGCGGAGCCTCCTGCTGTGTGTGGCCCGGTTTCCCCTGTGGTAGAGGCTGCTGCCGTCCTGGCGTCGGTTCCTTCGGCTCGTGGTACCCGTGTTTCTGGGTCACTTACCGGCTCTGACGATATCCGGCCGGTGCCCAAACGTTCCCGGCGTTCGTCTTCTTCCTGGGCCGATGTTGGTGACTTCAGTGACTGTGGGGCTTCGGATGTTGACAGTGTGGATACGGATGCGTCGATGTCTCCGCGGTTCGTGGTGGCGGAGGTCCATATGCCTGCCGGTGCTGGTGCCTGTGTCTCGGACGTGCCTTCGGTTCTCTCTCCACCGGGGAACTCTGCACAGTGGGGGGTGGTGGCTTCTGCTGCCAGGGATGGTGTGGACTCTGGTGCTGGGCGTGGCCTGGTGGTGACGTTACGGAAGGATGCGCGCCGTCCGGGTTCCCTGCTGTCGTCTGGTGGTGTGCCCGGGGCCGCGGGTACCCCTGTGGTGCGGGTGCGCGTTGGGGCCTTAGGGGACGTGTTGCCGGCGTATGTAATGCCACCGGGTCACTGGTCGAAGATTGCCGAGTTACTGCTGTCTGACGGACCGGAGTGCTTTCGTGGGGGGCAAGTTCCCTTCCTGTAGGGGCGAGTGGCGACTTCTCGCCTCATGAGTACTACCATCTGGGTCCCCAGTTTGCGGGTGTTTGTTGCCCCGGTTCCGGATGTTATGGCGTCCCTGGTGGATGGACGAGACCCTTGGCAATGGCTGCTCTGGGAGGCGTTTAATGTAAGGTTCCCGCGGGCCAAGTTCCCGGGCAAGTATGTGCTCTGATTTCCTGTGCATTTACTCTGACATGCTGTGTGCCCTTCTGGCTGTTTGTTTGCCCTGTTCTATTCTGTGTTTCTGCCTCTCCCTTTGTGCGTAGCTTTGCCGTGTGGCATATTAGTTTCTAGTGCTTGGCGTCACTCGTTTCGCGTTTTGGCTTGGCATTTCACCTTTCCTAGCTTTGCGATTCACCCTTCACGGGTACGCCGGGGCGCATACGATCCCACGATCGTCGTCGCCCCTAACTCAACAACAACAACAACAACACCTCACACGTGCTTGGAGACAATGGGACGGAACACCTGATCTCGTATTCAGGCTTAGAGAATATAAATCACCAAAACACACAACGTACTTACTTCATTTACACTGCCGGCTCATTACGCTCACACGCAAGTGTCCTATCATAACCCAAGCACCTGCTGTAGGTGGCTGATTACGGCAGCTAGGCGGCGGGATGGCTAGGCTTAGGCGGTAGCCTCCACACCACTCCCTGCGCAAGCGTGGAGCTCCACAAAAATTGGAGCCCAAACAATATGACTATTGGAAAACTGCCCTGAACACTGACAAGATATTTCCGCGTTCACTTGACTGCTATAGAGCAATAACAGGATTTAGAACGTCTGTATGATCACTGGAGTGGGGACCCACGAACACGTTAACCGCTCGTATGCAAATTACCCACGTTCTACGATCCTTACTCACTACACTCCCTATCTTTCTCCCCATCGAAATACGGCGCCGGTACTGGATTCTGGGCAGACGACATCGAAGATGAGGTGTTGGGTGGAACAGTAGAGTAGTCAACCGCCACAACGTCTTCTTACTCAACTTGGCCGAATTGAGCAAGGAAGCGTCATGTCAAGGTGGCGGCTGGATTCAGAATAAAGCCTTGAGAGAGGGACGCCGGCGACTTCCCGCGTCCTGCCTCAAAAGAACCAATCAGGGCGAGACAGACAGAGGCCTACCCCTCTCAATCAATCAGAGACGAGGTACCATGGCCCTAAGACGACTCCAAGATGGCCGACCAAGATGCTTTCCAAAATGGCTGGCGGCGTTGCCATGGCAATGAGGCTGGAGGCGTGGGTGGTAGGCCACCTGCCATGATCCCAAGCCTCGCGCCACCCGAGCAAATCCTCTGTCACAGCGCCCTCTCCAAAATGAAAGCTGTTGCTGGCTCTAACTCTGTCCACAAATGCGTCACAATGGCCATTGTAACATATTTAGATTGCTGATGACTGGCTTTCAGATGAGCCCTAACTCAAGATGATTCGGGTATGGGTTAACAAAACTAGGCCCGTGCACTTGCTAAGTGTACAAACTGCCACAGGCATAAAAACCAGGGGAAGTTTACTTTGGTGAAACCATCCCTTCACAGTCTTATAAGTTCATAAATAGGGATTGTTTTCGTTATCGAATGTGAAAGCATTGAATGCAAATTAACTTCTAATGGGCGTCTACCATATTTATTATTTATTTGAAATGTTTTTTATAAGTATTTTAAATTAATAAAATACTCCCTGACATCATGTAAGCGACAAAGAAGCAGTGAAACACGGTAGGAAAAGGATTAATCAAGTTGTATGGTTTTCAGTAAGGTTCAGCTGTTGAGGACCTGTTTCCGCCTCCGTGACAAAGAGTGGTGGCTGTGTGAGATGCCAACACCTTCCATCGACTTCCAGGTGAGCATCGCACACACCCTGTGTGTCACCAACACCTTCCTCTTTTACCATCTCTTCTTCAGGATTATATATGTATATACATGTTGTACCTAGTAGCCAGAACGTGGTACTCGGCCTACTATTCAAGGCCGAGTACGACGTTCAGATGAAATGGGCTACAGATGAAATGGGCTGGACAAAGCATAGAGAAGTTTTTTCAGGCTAGGCTGGTACAACAAGGATAGAGATCACCTGATAAAGATTGTGTTTTCAAACGAGACCACGAAGGAGGAAATTCTAACAAGGAAGGGTTAACTGTTAAATGTGAGAGGAAGCAAGAAAACATTCCTCCAGAAGGGCATGATGAAGAAAGAAAGAGCAATGACAACAGATGCAAAGAAGAAGCACAAGGAGAGAGGAGAGAACCAGGAAACGACTGGCCTCAACACAACAGTCCGGGAGGGGAGTGGAGAACTCCCAACCAGCATCCCAGTAACCCCAGAGGAGAGGACAACACCTCCACCCTCCTCCTCATAGAAATCCTCCTTACACTGTATCCTCCCTGTCCCCATTTAAATGCTCATTCAACTTTCCCTCCCTCCTTCCTCATCCCTTACCCTCCCTGTTCCCCCCATCCCCTCACCCCATTCCCTCTCAGTCCCCTTGTTACTGTATCAACACCGTTGCCAGAGTGGGGCGTGGTGATTTCGGCGCCATCTATGAACCTGTATTCCAACTTCCAGGCATTGGGTGCAACACAGACAACGCTATCTCATGATGGTGGCATGGCATTAGTGTAAAGCTCTGGTTTTCTACCTCAGTTAGAAGGTGAGGATGATGATGACCTCTGGTGGGTGGCATATCGAGATCAACGCCATCTAGGTTGTGGCTACAGTTTACAATTTCAATTCCCCGGTGGCAGGGTGTTATCCAAAGGTCACCCTTAGGATAACTACTGTCATTAGCTACTGTCTGTCTAGCTAATGACGTTTTATGTTCACAGAGGTGACGCAAGGAGGCGATTGCGCTGAGGACGGCAGTTCACCTTGGACAGTCCTAAACTCTTGACTTGATCCTGTGAGAGAACAAAATCGCTGCTGTCGGTTATAGCTGTGAGATTTTTTTCTACGCCTACCTCCCTTAGCAAGTGGACCTCAAGCATAAAGAACTGCACACTGCAGATATTTCTACTCTAAGCATGAGTTCAATAGAAAAAGGAAAAGCGGGAGCAAACCGCCAGGCTTCCACCACAAGGGTGAAAACCTGTCCACTTAGGCTGCTGGTTCATCCGAGTTAAACAGGACGTTAAAACCAATAAAGACTAACCGACAGGTTTTCACAATCAAATATATATATATGATGTGGTGCTATGAATTGGAATTGGAATTTCCCAAGAACAGCCGTCATTTAAAAAAAAGATCACATTGCAACAATCGTATAAAGCAAAACATAGGTGGAAAAGAATGGTTGAAGGGTTGACATCAAAGACCGTTTTCTATAACAAAGAGACTAAAACTATAACTAGTTTCTATAACTAGAGACTAAACTACTACAACATCGAGTTTATGTTACGTTAATGACCATCAAGTGGCACTATAACAACAGCTAAATAGCAACGAATCCGGTCCATTGCTGTGCGGCTGCATACTGAACTAACCTGAACACAGGTGTGCCCACTGACGACGCAATATTGCAAACAAATAATTCACAAGCTTAGTTTACACCACAGTGAGTGATTTGTTAAGTTAATGTCTATCAAGTGGCACTTGCAAAACAGCTATTCTACAGCCCCTCGCACTGCGGGCTGATTAAATGAACTAACTGAACAATGATGCCCACTGATGACACAAGCTTGCAATCAATATTGTCACGGCTTCAAGGTGAACAGATACTATAATCACAATTTCATGGGTCCTCCAACCCTTCAGGCGAGATACGTCACGTAACTAGGCGGGTAGTCCAACACTGACTTCCCCTATCACAACCTAATGTGAACACTCTTTGCAACTCCCTGCAAGAAGTTGCACTGTAAACAGTAAACAAAGCCAGGCAAGGTGGGATTCTGAGACACTTCTCCAGTAATCCCCCAAGTTACTTTACTCTCGTCACCAGACGATAAACAAAAGAAATTGCCTTAATCAACTAAAAAAATTATGTGATTAATTACGTTAATTGACTGTCCACAGCAGTGAGCAACAAAGTACTTTACGTTTATCACAAACACTTGTCTCTCTTAACACAAGTCAACTTGTTAACAATAACTCAAAGTCTCATACATTACATCACACTTGAATCCTTTCAAGTATTCAGTGAGTAATTCCTAATTAATGTCAAACGGACAACTAATTAAATCCCAATCGAGTTACGTTAACTAAGCCTACCACTATCTTGGTAGCTTCTCAACAGTCTATGTCAAAATTTACTTTAATGAGTGTTAATTACCCTAATTAACCCCAAGCAATTAATTAACTGTCACCAGGACCAATAATTAGTCATACATAAATACGTCTCACTCCGCACTGCCTAAGCAGATCTCATCAAACACTGTGAATTCACGGACGAGGTGTTAATTACTCCACTAATTAACATGAGTGTATCTTAATCCACTGTCACCAGACAGGATATGATTAATATAACGAGTTATGCTAACTCCATGACCTCGCTTTACCGAGTCATCAAAACCTTTGACGTTAATTACTCCACTAATTAACATGAGCCACTAATTGCTATACCCCAGAAAGGTAATTAGTCTCGAGCAAATTACGTTAATACAAATACTATCAGACTCTAACAGTTCCTTCACACTATGTGAATTCATGATGAGAACACTAATTAAATAATTAGCTAGAGTGGTCAATTAGTTATCCCACGGACAATTAATTGCACCTGAAACGTATCTCAACAAGCTCAGCACTGTTTCCCTTAACAGCTCTCTCACTCATTAAGTAATGTGCAACCTCTTATAAAGTTAATTCCCCTTAATTAACTCAATGACTCCTTAAGTCATCATCACAACTTAAAGAACACAAAGTAACCCCCAGGTTGCATTGGTCACACTTACAGTGGCATTACAACATAAATGCACAGCCCACACACGGTTGCAGCTTCTGCAACATGGAAATTACTGTACCTCACAGTAATGACACACGATTTGGCAACAACAAAAGTATACCTACATTATTGCCCCCTCTAATCTTGCAACAGTTGCAAGGGACTACTGTGCGCAATCACTACTTCTACTTCAGCAAAACAATTTACGTTAATATAAGACACCGTTGCTACACTGACAGCAGGCACTAATTCTCATAATTAGGCAGATTAACCAATCAATTGCTTGCTCTCTCATTAAGTACCCCCCCCCTCCCCGCTCAGCTCGTTGATGCCGTGAGGGGGGGCTTAGTGGGTGGCTGCCGGAGTGTGATGCTCCTTGGGACAGTCCTCTGTCCTTTTGTAGCCTTGTGCTCCTGCTGCCGTCCTCTCCATTTGTGCTGAGCAACTTTTCCTTGTCCTTCTGTTTCGTTTTTCTCCCCCTCTTCTCCTATCTGCTTGCCATTCCCTGCCGACCTTTTGCTTGTTTTAGTTATTCCTTTGGACTTCTATTTTGACGCTCGGGTGCTTGAGGAGGCATACTCTTGCACCCGTAGAACTATAGTACCCAACGTCGAAAGTGAGGGGAACCTTTTATTGTCAATCCCCCTTTCGTCACTGAACCCGATCTTAACGGACTGTTGGTTCTTAAGGTGGCGTTTGTGGGGCTAATACTCACGACGCACCCTTAGGAGGCCCCGGCATGATCGGCGATAGCTTCTTGTTGGGTGTCCTGCCTCTAATTGTGGCTCCATGGTGGGTGTGGGGGCACATTCGTGAATGAATGTTTCTTTTTCGTAGCGATGATGTACACTGTTTCTACTGTTTCTCCTATACCTTCTCAGGCTCGTGGGGTGGGCGACCGAGCCCCCGAGTCGGTCCGTGTTGGAAGACCGGGCTCTGCAGCCTCCGCTGCATTGGGCCCCGACCTTGCTCCTCCTTTGGCCTCTCTGACTCCTCCCCTCGGCTCCAATCCCTCCTCTGTGGTTGGGTCGAGCCCCAAGGCCCCAGTGGTGACTACCTCGTCCCCTTCCGTTACATCTCTCGTTGTAACTACTGCGCCTTTTAACCCCTCTCTCTCTGGGGGTTCTCAACACCGTCCTCATCATGGCCGCCCTCGCTTGATTCCTTCCCGTTCTGATACCTATCAAGCCTTTTTTGGTCCCGCTTCAGGGGCCAAATATTTTGATCTCCTCCCTCTTGATTGATTGATTGATGAAGATTAAGCCACCCAAAAGGTGGCATGGGCATGAATAGCCCGTAAGTGGTGGCCCTCTTAAGCCATTACAAGTGTCAAGAGTTGATACTGGAGATCTGCGGAGGTGCGAATGCACCCTGCATGACGGGAGATGTCTCCCTTATGAATGTGTTAAGATGAAGATGAAGCAACCCAAAAGGTGGCACGGGCATAAATAACCCATAAGTGGTGGCCATTTTAAGCCATTACCAGTATCAAGAGATGATACTGGAGATCTGTGGAGGTGCGAATGCACCCTGCATAACGGGAGATATCTCCCTTGTGAATATGTTAAGATGAAGATGAAGCCACCCAAAAGGTGGCACGGTCATGAATAGCTCGTAAGTAGTGGCCCTTTTGAGCCATCACCAGTATCAATAGATGATACTGGGGATCTGAGGAGGTGCGACTGCACCCAGCGTGACGGGAGATGTCTCCCGGACCAAATGGTGACCAGATGGTCTCCTCCCTCTTGATTCTGCGCCTCCTGACGATTTCTCCCACCATCGACCTCTCGTTGATTCCGTGGATGCCTCTGTTACCTTCAGCCCCACTCGTCTCAGTACATGTGTCGTTGCTGCTCCTTCTCAGGATGCTGCTTCCCGCTTGGCTGTCTTATCCTGCCTTGGCGAGACCCCTGTTCGGGTCTCAAAGAACGCTCAGTTGAACGCCAGTGTTGGCACTATTCTCCTCCCGCCCCATGTTGCGACCGGTGTTCAGGATCTGCGAGAGTGCCACGACGATATTCGACATATCCTTGATGCCCAGGGCCATTCTATTCTCCAGGTGGACACGTTTACTCGTCCCACTCGTAGTAGTCGCCGTCAGCCCCTTCGGGTTGTGAAGATTACCTTTGATGGTCGGACCCTTCCACCCTCTGTTATTCTTGGTGGTGCCAGGTGCTCTGTCCAGGAGTACATTCCTTCTCCTAGGCTCTGTAACAAGTGCTGGAGGTTTGGGCATGGTGCCCTCCGCTGCTCTGGGACAGTTTCTCTCTGTCCTTTGTGTGGGGGCGAAGGTCACTCTATGTCGGAGTGCACTTCTCCCCGGGCTCGTTGCCTCAACTGCGGTGAGGGCCATGCTACCTTCTCCCGTGCGTGTGTTCATTACAAGCTTGAGGCAGCCGTCCTCAACTTGAAGCACCAGGAGCGTTTATCTTTTCCTGAGGCGAGACTCCAAGGTTCGCCGGCTCCCACCTTATGCTAATATCTTTTATGCTCGTGTGTTGTGCTCTTCCTCTCTTCGTCCTTCTCACCTTCCTCAGACTCACAACCGTTTCCGGGCCTTGGACCCTGATACGCCCACTGCCCTCTCCTTTGTTCCTTTGAGTTCTGTCCTGAAGGATCCACCTCCTGATCCTCTGTCTGGGGTTCCCCTTCTTTCTACCCGGTCTGTCTTGTCTCCTGTGTCTTCTTCCTCGTCTCCCTCCGTTCCTCCTTCCCATTCTTCCCCTCCGTCTCTTTACTCTCCCCTCCGCCTGTCGGTGCGGGCTGACGTCCATCGCTCTCCAAGGGGCCATCGTGAGTGCTCTCGTTCAGCTTCTCCTGTTGAGATGCTAGAATCCGTTGCCCAGTACGTAGTTGCTGGGACACCTGTCTCTTTAAGTCAGAAGCGTAAGCCTGGCTCCTCTCCTTCCTCCTCCCATGCGGGTAAGAAGGTTTTGCTTTCTACCTCGACCCCTACTTCTGCCTCTATCGCTCCTTCCCCTCCCATTTCGGTGGTTGCGCTCCCTGTTCCTGCTATGGAGGTTTCTTTGGCCCCCGCTTCCCTCTCTGTTGCTGCCCTTGCTGAGGTGCGCTCCCCTCTTTCTACTCCCCCTCTTCCTGCTGCTGTCCTTGAATGCTCCTCTCCGTTCCGTTGTCTCCTCCTCTTCCTCCTCCTCCTCCGGACCCCAAACGCCCACCTCTGGTCTGTTTCCCCGCTTCCTTCCCTCTGTCTTTGCTCAGTTTACCCATGCTCCCTAACCCTGACTTTGCTGACCCTGATCCCGACCCTGATATTCTTTAACGTGCTATGTTGCTCTTTCGCCTTTGTTTCTTCCTTGTTCTCTGTTGTTGTCCTTTCTCTTCTCGTCGATGTCTATTCTTCAATGGAACGTTCGAGGTTATTACACCAATTTCCTCGAACTCCAACTTCTGATTTCGCGGTTTTCGCCCCTTTGTGTAGGTCTCCAGGAGCTGATGCTTGGTGTTCGTCCTGTTCGTTTTCTTGGCTATTCCTTTTTCTCCCCCCCCCCCCAGCTGTTGCTGGGGCTCCTAATTCTTCTGCTCTCTTGATTCGCTCTAATGTTCCCTTTGTCCCCTTACTTTTTCCTTCGCCTCTCCATTGTTCTGCTGCTCGTATCTTTGTGGGGAAATGATACACATTTTGTTCCATTTATCTCCCCCGATAGTCCTGCTTTCTCTTCCTGATCTGAAACACCTCCTGGACTCCTTGCCAGAGCCCGTGCTTCTGCTGGGTGATTTCAATTGTCGTCATTCTCTTTGGGGGTGATGTTCTGACGAATACCCGAGGTCGCCTTCTTGAGCCGTTTATCCTCTCTTCTTCCCTGTCTCTTCTGAATTCTGGTGAGCCCACTCATTTGGACTCTCGGACTCGCACCCTTTCCTGTCTTGATCTTTCTCTTTGATCTTCTTCTCTTTACTTAGATTTCACGTGGCAGGTTCTTGATGACCTCCATGGCAGTGACCATTTCCCCATCATTATTTCCTTTTTCTCTTTTCGTCCTTCC